TCGACTAGGCAAAAGGTTCATATATTGGATTATCCGTATATTTTTAATCCTACGTCGTTGGTTTCATACTTCAGGGCTATCAACTTCTCGCGGATGAGTCGTTCCTACGAAGAGTCCACCTCGTTGCAAAGGCGAATCGAAGCCATCATCGCCGCTGACAGCCTCGTCACGGAGTCGCACCAGAGAAACGTACTTCAAGATCTATTGAAGATCCCATCGTCCAAATACCTAATCCTTGACATCAGCCGTAAAAACGTGCTCAGAGATGCCTTCGACCAACTCTGGCGACGGCAAGAACGCGAACTTATGAGGCCGTTAAAGGTTCATCTCGGAGAAGACAGTGGGGAAGAAGGGTTCGACTCTGGTGGCGTGCAACAGGAATTCTTCCGTCTCGCCATTGCCGAGGCTTTAAATCCTACTTACGGCGCCTTTGTCATCGACGACAGGACGCGGATGACCTGGTTTCAGCCCGGTTCTGTCCAACCGGAATGGAAATTCGAACTAATCGGGCTGCTTATGTCGCTGGCCGTTTATAATGGACTGACTCTTCCAATCACGTTCCCAAAAGCCCTATACCGCAAGCTTCTAGGTGAGCCCGTCACAGAGCTGCATCACATCGCTGATGGGTGGCCGGACCTCGCTAATGGCTTGACCAACATTCTTGAATGGAATGAGAAGGATGGCTCTATAGAGGACGTCTTCGTTCTAACTTACGAGTTTTCCACGTCCATGTTTGGCCAGCCCGTCTCACGCGAAATGGAGTCGTCGAATTCGATATCCTGGCCACAATTCTCCAGTCATCCGGAGTCTACTCCCCTCTCGGCATCTAACCCGAGCGATGCACCACTAGTTACAGGCGACAACCGTAACGCTTATGTGAGCGACTACATCCGATACCTAACCGACGTCTCGGTCGCTCCCCAATTCAACGCCTTTGCTCGTGGTTTCCGGGCTTGTCTGCACCCAAAGTCTCTACAACTCTTGACGCCATCACTATTACAAAATCTCGCGGAAGGTACGCAGGAGATCGACGTCGGAGAACTTCGCCGCGCGGCACGGTACGTTGGTTGGGACGGATCACATCGTACCGTGCGCGACTTCTGGTCTATTGTTAAAAGATACGACAGCCGTATGCGCCGCAAGCTGCTCGAGTTTGTCACTGCTAGCGACCGCGTGCCCGTCGGCGGTATGGCCAACATCCAGTTCGTAGTCCAGAAGAACGGCGAGGAAGAAGGCGAGGGCGGCCACCTACCCACCGCATATACGTGCTACGGTACCCTTTTACTCCCAGAATACCGTGACAAGGAGGTGCTCCGAGAGCGCCTGTCCATGGCGCTCGAAAATGCTCAAGGGTTCGGGTTCGCGTAAACCGCGCCGTGTAGCTATGTGGTATGGTATTACATCGTAGGTCGAATAAGGATATCCGATAGGGTAGTATTGAGATTGGTGTGGTGTAGTGTATTTCCAACCGATCGATTGGAAATGCTGTAAGGAGGATAGAAAGCACCTATGTTCGACACGTAAATATATAGGCCTGGACAACCTAAGAAAACAAAATTAAAGAGAAGGCATAAGTAAGAAACTGTCTCTTTTGAAGTATATATATATATAAGGAGTGAATGGGAGCGGGGCGTATAGGAAGGCAAAAAGGACTCCCTGGCTATAAGTAGGACTTGGAGGACGGGATATCTCCTACTTACTTACTCACTTCCATCGCCTACTACACGTTACGCGGTGCACACGCCGTTATACTACTTACCTCGGGGTCGGGGTATGATGGACTAGTTAGGGATATTGGGGGTTTGTTTAGGGGACTACTGTTATTAACCCGCCGACTCACTCGTGTCGTTTATTCGCCTACCTGTCTACCGCGGGCACTACTAATGTTGTCCCCGGCACTCGTCTACGGTGGTATTTGGTATATAGTAGGGTATCTGTCTTTTTAGCGTGCGTGCAATAAAAAGTTGGGGGAGCGGTCGTTTTCGGGTTCATACCCCATATACATATTGAAAATCTTCTTACACTACGCGTGCCTAATGCATTCATAGGAGGTATATAACGCGCCGCGGGGATGTAGATAAGATATACATACCCAAGTGCACATATATAAGCTATTTCGGGGCAGCAGATTTTTTTCTTATTCTTGTCTCGGCTCTCTAAAAGATAGGGGTAGGTAACGTATCGTGACTCTTTGATGTTAAGTCCTTCAACTGCCATTCCATAGGTACATACATAAATGTACGCATCCACCATTCATATCTACAACCTTAACGACGCGCCTCGCCACTTTCCCCCACGAGAACATGAGCATTACGAACACAGCACGTCGAGATCTAGATCGACGCAGATAACAGGTAGGCAGATAGAGCGAACGAATAAGCTTCATCTTACCACTTAATAGTCCTGATCCCCAGAGCCGCTGACAATAACGTTGTTGACCTTGAGCACCATACGGCACAGCTGCGTAGCAAGCATAAGCTGCTGGCGCTTGCCGATGAGAGGATCGATAACAAAGGCCTGCTTCATGTCGTTGCTGCCGCCGTTCATGCAGTCAACACCAAGCCTGCCGCGGCCCTCGGGGCCGGCCTTGACCTGCTGCGATTTGACCTCAGCGAGCGTTGCGATGGGGTTTAATCCGCTGTTCTCTGCGAGCGCCATCGGCACTGCGTCTAGCGCCTCGGCGAACGCCCGCATCGCGTACTGCTCTAACCCGGGCGTCTTGACAGCCGCGTCCTCGACCGCGAGCGAGCAAGCGATTTCAGCAGCACCACCCCCGTACACGACACGATTGTCGCGGACTAGGTTTCGTACGACACAGAGGGCATCATGAAGAGATCGTCGGGCTTCATCGATGATCTAGTAGTGGATTAGTCACGCTCATACTTTGAAAGGGGGTGAAGGAAAAGTTACCATCTTGTTGCTTCCTCGGACAAACACCGTCACGGCTCTTGTGTTGGCGCACTCCTCGATCACTAGCATCTTTTCTCTCGTAGTACCGAACGTCATCTCTCGCACAATACCAGCTTTGCCTAGCTTCTCTGCCTTCAGGTCCTCAAATCGAGGCACTATCCTACCATTCGTAGCAATGGCAATAAGTTCGATCTCCGGACCGCCTACCCATCTTACCGCGGGTAATTCGTTCTGTAGTAATAAGTGGTTAGCTTCGTCGTCGAAACCCCACTGACAGATAGCCAGATTAGCTCCGGTATCTTTGATCTGTTGGATCATCTCGATGAACTTTTCCCGTTCGTAGTTTTGTAGCTTCTTGAACTCCTCTACCGAGGTAATCTCTAGCTTATGCTTGGTCTTGGGCTTCGGCGGCTCGAACGCACAGGTGAGAATGGCGATCTTGGCGTCTCTGACTTCTGACGGCATTTGGGGATGCGAGAAATCCTTGTCGATAATTACACCCTTAACCAGAATGGTGTCTTCCAACGCGCCACCAACCTTACCATCCACCTTGATCAGCTCGAAGTCGACATCTTTTCGTTCGAGGTCGGCGACGGAGAGAACAGCGTCTACAGCAATGTTGGCGAACTGGTCGTGTGCCTTGGATACGATTTTGCTGCCTAAACTTGTCCGAGCTACCTTAACTAGGTTCTCTGTTGATTCCCGGCTGAACTCGATGATATCTGATATCCGATCTAACTCGGCCACTGCGATATCACAGGCTTGGTCGTAGCCGTCTGCTATTCGGATGGGGTGGATTCCCTTGTCTATAAGTTCGGCAGCCTGTTCTAAGAGAGCACCGGCTAGAACAACCACACCAGTCGTACCGTCACCAATCTCATCGTCTTGAGACTTAGATAATTCGACGAGGAGCTTCGCAACGTGGTTTGAAATCTCCATCTGCTGTAGGATGGTAGCTCCGTCGTTGGTCACCGTAATGTCACCGTCGGGCGAAATTAGGATCTTGTCGAGGCCACGAGGACCTAAAGAGGTCTTGACAATATTTGCAACGGTTCGAGCGGCGAGGATATGCGATTTGACAGCTTCGTTGCCATACTGGCGCTTCTTCTTGCCTTGACTGAATAGAGGAGGTTAGATTTGCTGTATAGCTAACTGTATTAACATAGACGGCGAAACTCTCAATACTCACTCTCTAACAATGATGAAAGGTCGCCCCTGTTCATCTTTTATAACAGAAGCTTTATGTAATATATATTAGCACCTGGTGTATACTGTATATAACTGCCATAGATTGTATTCTTTAGCATACCGTTCTGGAGGTCGAGATCTAAGGTAGAAAATATTAGTAAATTATCAAAGTCATGGCGGGGTTATTGATTGCATACTCAACGCCATTCTTGCCGGTTTCTATAGCTCAGGAGAGCTTTCTGTGGTGTATAGGATAATATCCCGGCAGTTTATAGCTTCTCTACTAAGTTTTGACAAAATACACGGTTGTATGTTGTATAGAGTCGTTAACTTCGATGTTGGTAGAGTTCTGCCTTGTTAGTGGGACGGGTTTGTATTGTACCTAACCTAGTTAGTTATCTCGAAATTCTGAAATTCTAAAAGATCTAGCCCCACATTCTTCCAGATCGGAAAATTCACATTGCCGACGTGCTAGGATAGGTACCTACCTACCTACCTATTCCGCCAGAGCTTTTATCTTATCTATCATTGTAATATGTAATAAATCTTATCCTGCAAACTACCTAACATAACCTACCTACCTACACTACAATTGAGCTTCTCCAGTGCTAATCGCTGACATAAGTACACGTATCTACCTTAGGTACCTAAGGCATAGGCAATCAACAAAGTCCCCTATCTCTCTTTTGTCCATTGGTCATCTCGTAAATAATAATTACATCACATATCGGTGATATTGGTGATTCTACACATGTACGTAACCTTTGCGAACTAGGTCTGAGGTTACCTATACCGCAGTAACGATCAAGAAAATTTTAATATCTCGGCCCCCTACATATACATACTCGGCCGTAATATGTGAGGACCTAGAGGAAGCAAACCACGATCATTTGACCTACCTAGGTGATGACCTAGGTGATTACGCATAATATCAATTTTCGAGCCGAGGCACGGGCGACCCGGACACCCTACATCCTCAATACCCCTTCACATTAATGTGTATAACAGCCAGCAATAGCCAGCAATAGCCAGCAAGATCCATATAATACCCATAGAAATACAAAAATATCATACTCTCAACTTCTAATTCTAGATACGCCGCGGAACGTCATTTTCGATACCCACATATCAAAAAATATATTCCTCGGCATCTCTAATAGAGAATTAGCCTATTCACTTATACCCTGACTGGTGGAACCCAGCGCCCCACAAGTACCTGGAAATGGGTGGTACTTGGCCTACCGGTGGATTTGCCCCGCTGACGTTTTGTAGAGGTACCCCTACCTGACCTAAATGACCTAAATGACCTAAATAAATTCAACTTGCAAGTCTACATAACTACCTTTGAAATATTAAGCTGGAAGCTACAGCTCCCCCAAGCTTCGACTCCAAAACCAGTTTTGATCTCCAACTTTACTTTCCTTCGCGTTCAAGAACCAACGTTATTATCCCTACCCTCTACATAATACCTACGCTTGACATAAACACTACACCCCATAATTATATCCTACTCCCCATCTAAATCATGTCCCTCCCAACTCAATTCGAGGGCGTGCTTCCTCTCTACAGAGTCCAGAAGCCCCCTTTTATGGTCGAATCACCTGACGCCGAAGAAGTTGAAGGAGAAACGAAGCCATTCAGGCACACCAAGGCCAAGGACGGTCTTATCACACGCCCCGAATCTCACATCGCCACTACTTATGACATCTTAATCGAGACTGCGAAAAAATACGGCGACAAGGCGGCCATAGGTACTCGTAAACTCATCAAGACGCATACCGAGACTAAGAAAGTACCAAAAGTTGTTGACGGAGTCAAGACTGAAGTTAATAAAGAATGGACTTACTTCGAGTTAACCCCGTACACATTCCTTACTTACAACGAGTACAAGACTCGAGCTCTAAACGTAGGCGCCGGTTTGAAGAAGCTAGGGCTCGAGACAGGTGACGTGTTACACATCTTTGCGACAACGAGGTAGGGAATATCCCCTTCATTGTAAAGAATAGCCAACGGCTAACCATTTATGCAGCGCCAACTGGCAGTGCACGGCTCACGCCTGCGCCTCGCAATCCATCACAATCGCAACCGCGTACGATACTCTCGGCTCGGATGCTGTCGAATACTCCCTCACACAAACGAATGCGAAGGCTATGTATACCGATCCCCATCTATTCAAAGTTGCCAGTCGCCCTTTGAAGAATGCGAAAGATGTCAAGTACTTGATCTACAATGACACGACCAATATCCCCATTTCTGACGAGGAGATGGCCGACTTCAAATCCTCAAATTCTCACCTTACCATCATCTCCTACTCTGACCTGATTGCCCTCGGTGAGGAGAACCCTATAGACCCCGTACCGCCGAAACCTACCGATCTGTGTTGTATCATGTACACTTCTGGTTCTTCTGGAACTCCCAAGGGTGTCCCTCTTACCCACGAAGGTGTTGTTGCGGGCATCACCGGCCTATGGACTATTGTCGCAGAGACTGTTTCACATCGGGACGTTATACTCGCGTATCTCCCCCTTGCTCATATTTTGGAGGTGGCTGTGGAGAATTTAGTAATGTTTGTTGGCGGTACGCTCGGCTACGGATCCCCCCGCACGTTGGCTGACTCCTCTATGCGCAACTGTGCTGGAGATATGCGAGAGCTTGCACCTACCGTCATGGTTGGTGTGCCCCAGATATGGGAGACCATCAGGAAGGGTATTGAAGCCAAAGTCAACTCTGGTGGTGCCTTGACCAAGAATCTTTTTTGGGGTGCTTACAACCTCAAGAGCTTACTCGTGGCAACCGGCCTGCCTGGGAGTGGCTTACTTGATGCCATAGTATTCAAGAAAGTCCGGGAAATGACGGGCGGAAGGGTAAGATTCCTCTTCAACGGTGCCAGTGGTATTTCGGATGGCACAAGGCAGTTCGTAAGCTTGGTGCTTGCGCCAATGATTACGGGATATGGTCTTACGGAAACAACCGCCAATGGCGCCCTAGGTAACCCGTTGCAATGGACTCGGGATGCCATCGGCCCCGTCCCTGCGTCACTTGAGATCAAGCTCGTCAGTATACCTGATCTAGGATACGACGCAAAGAGTAATCCTCCACAAGGTGAGATTCTGCTGCGGGGACTTCCAGTCTGCAAGGAGTATTACAAGAACCCCGAGGAGACCGCGAAGGCGTTTACATCGGATGGGTGGTTCCGAACAGGAGATATCGGCGAGTTCGACTCGGTAGGCCACGTCAAGATCATCGACCGCGTCAAAAATCTCGTCAAGATGCAGGGCGGTGAGTACATCGCGCTCGAGAAGCTCGAGGCCGTCTACCGCGGCAGCGAATTCGTCCACAACGTCATGGTGTACGGCGACAGCGAGCACCCTCGCGCCATTGCCGTCATCAGCCCCAACGAGAAGTCGCTGAACGACCTAGCGAAGAAACTAGATGTTGATCATGCCCACGCTCACGGCGACCCCAAGGTCTTGGAGACAGTCCACAAGGACTTAATCGCAGTGGGCAAGAAGGCCGGCTTGACCGGGCTGGAAATGATCGTTGGCGTCGTAATAGTTGATGAGGAATGGACGCCCGCTAGTGTAAGTTTCAACCACATTCCATAACCACATTCCATCTCCCCCTATCCCAACCTAAACCTCCTAGACCTAGGATTAGCGCTGACAGGCATAACAGGGTCTCGTTACAGCAACACAGAAGGTGAACCGGAGGGCGCTCAAGGATGTCTACAAGAAACAAATCCAAGAGTGCTTTAAGCGGACTTCGTAATCTGTAGTGTCGTGTTAATGTAATATGCGTCTGTTTCCAGGTATTGTGTAATTTGCTAACTGGCTGGCTCTTCGGCGAGTTGGAAATGGGTCGGTGTAGCATTAGTTATACACCTTGTATTCCGTATGGCGTGTTGCTTCGCTTTTTTTGTTGTATACGCACAGGGAAGATTAAGTAAGGTATATTTCACGTAGAGTTAATGATTATGTTTTCCCTCGTTTTTTAATGAGGAAGTATTAATTTATTATGTGAAAATCTAGAGGGCTGATGAAGAATCGTAAGATTGTTCAACTGGGTACTAGACTAACCTACCTAGATATATAAGGTAAGAAACGTTGAGGTTGGCCAAGAATGCGTATTCGTTTAGTCGACTCCCTTTGTTGAGTTTATCTGGATCCTCGGGTCCCGAGTTTGCATGTGAAAGGAGTCTTATAGTCGTAGTCAGTGCTGGATATATCTGGATATTGGCACCCAATGGCCCTATTGCTCTTAAGCCTTTATTGCCAAGGCAGATAGTAGCGTACCTGAACGAAAAAGTATCGGAGAAAGGTTGGCTAATATTGCCCTTCTACATACTAGGTTAGGTATATACCAACTCTCGTCGCCACCGCTGTCTAATACCTATGTATGTAGATTATAACAGGAACTATAATAACTAGGCTAGTTTTTTCATCATAATCCTCGACTTATTGATATAGCAATAACGTTTATTTATTAAACCACCTATAGTATATATTGCACTACACCTATACATATGACCACATATAGCATAGCCAAACTCGAAGTCGGCAGAGAAAAAAGAGAAAAGGACGGTAAAGAAGGTAAAATAAATAAAAAGACAGGAATTCAGTGTCTAGCGTTCCCTCTACAACGCCGCGCTTCCAAATATAATGTAAGCGTCCATCTACCAAACCCCCAAAACGTTCTTCCAAGACCATCTATCTACTAAGGTAGTGGGGGGAGAATACCAATATATTTAACCCGTGGCAGTACCGATCCGAGTATTCAAAGCCGCCCTTCAGCGTATCGCTTATGGCAGTAGTATTCTTGCTGATACGACACCGCGTGATTTGCATCTTATAATTATTAATATTCCAGAAATCACAATTGTCTAGACACCTCATCTTTCCCTATATTGGTCTCAAGTGAAGGGAACATCGATACGCTTATAGTGCAGCTGGACGGGCGTCTCGTTATTGTGGCACTGGTACATCCTATTGAGCTCCCTTTTCCAGGCATCCCCAGAGTACGGCGTTATGATGGTGTCGTTACATTTAATCCACGTGTCCTTCCCCTCGCCCCTGATCCAGGTCCAGTAGTGACCTGAGGTGGAGGATGCGCCAAGATGTACTTGAATGGCGTAGAGCTCGTACTTAGTAGGACATGAGAAACCCTCACTAAAATTTTCACCTAGAATTTTAGCCGCCTCTTCTCGCGCTTGTGAATCGAAGCTGTAAGGCCCTAGGTCAAGCTCAAGGGGGAAGGTGATAGGTTTAACATCCTTTTGGGGGCCATTCCTCCCTTGTCTTCTTATATATAGGCGCAGTAAGCGAGGCATCCTCGCGATTTTGGTGGTCATATGAGCTTTTGGACCTTTGCATTTGATTGCCTTATTGCCACAATTCATGTCGATTTGTTCGGGGCCAAAGGTGTAGTGCAACATGTCGACAAGTTGAAGCGGTCCATAGGAATATTGGTCTGCATCAGTTGCTACCATCAGGGAACGGTACGTATCTCGACCATACGAAAAATGTCCACACGTATCGCACTTTCGTTCAGCCAATAGAAATAACAACCAATAGGCATCAATAAAGGATTGAGGTTGGGTCTGCCTCCATTGTTTTATATAACTTTCCACCAGTACTTTGACATCCGCGCGCGTCCCGCTCGGTACCTTGATTCTCTCTATTGAACGGACGAAACGATGGCTCACGTTTGTTTCAGCTGCAACTTGGTCAAAGACGAAATTAAACATCTCGTCGACATCGTGTTGATTATGATCTCCTAGTTTGAGAAGCCTGCCATCCGCAACGTATCCTCCGCTGACAGAACGCATATATTTCTTGTGCATACGTGAGCAAAAAACTGCCCAAGGTAATATAATAAATAGGTAGGGGGATACGTACCAGAAGTGCATCAGGTGTCGCTTCTTTGAGCCGCTTCTTGTGCAGCCACATAAACGTGTTTTTTAAAATCTTGGACAGTAGCTGTGCTGAAGCAGGCTCTCTCTTGCTTGTTTCTTCGTGTGCTTGACGCCAATCTAGAGGCCATTTATCATCCAATACATTGCTGATGAACCCAGGTGAAGCAAGTAATACTTGTAGGGTTGAATTACAGTAGCATGAGTTTCCAAGGTTCCGGAGTCCAGTTATAAGTTGGCCAGGCCCCAATCGTTCTGCGGGTGCTGCCGGCATGGCAATGCCACCAACACCCGAGTCGTCATCTCTAGATTCTAAGCCACTGTACCTAGTTCTTGGGATAGCAGGTGCCGGTAGCTTAGGAGGTGTGGGAGCTATGCTGGCTAGGAAGTCTTCCTGTGAATCCAAGTCCTCCTTGATAGAAGTCATAGATTCAGGGTCGCCTGTTATACTAGGATAACGACGGATAAAGTCTTCCCTTGTTTTGACATAGTCGAAAGTGTCAAGTCCCATCTGGTCAGTTTTGATCATATCCTCGAATTGACTAATCTCATCTTGATTAAGGGTCTTGGTCCGGGATCGTTTTCTGTCGCCGTACCTTTGCCTCGAAGCCGTGCTTGGAGACACGTAGTTTGACATAGTCTTGGAAGCCTCAAGAGATTGCTCTCCAAATTTGTCCACCCACGAGTTCAGACCACCGCTCAGCAGCTTTGGGGCGCGTTTGAGCGGTCGGCTATAGCTATAGTACGATAGGGCTTGTCGGATATTGTACAGGACCATTTCTAAAGAATCTCCAGTTATCCTAGACGATATTGAAGCGCTATCCTGATCGTAGATAACCACCAAGTCAACCTTGTCGCGTTGCTCAACCGCGAGCCTCTCACTTGGAGGGGCAAGAACCATGCTATCAGCAATCTCATCTGCGGATATGTTCTCTCGCATAAGAATCTCAGGCTCGATACAAATCGTCTTAGCTGATTTGATATGTCCCTCGTCAAAAGACTCACGATCCCGAACATCAATTACCAAAACGTCAATCTGAGGGTACTTGTTTATGAGACCTTGAAGTGTTTCGGCTGTGATGTCGTCGCCGTCTGGAATTTGAAATTCCGTTAGCGTAGCTGAGGGTTGGGTGACCCGATAAGAATGGGCCGCAACAAACTGTTCTTTGCTAAAGGCCCTGATGGCGTTTTCCGTCGATATGCGAGCTGAGACGCTGGGGGCCGAGGTAATCGAATTTGTCCGACTGAACATACCACGAGGGGTGCTGGATGGAAGGTTAGCGATCTCACTAGTCACGGTACCTCTCGCGGGACTATAGATGGCTTCCGGGAGCTTTGGCATCGTTAATATAGATGTATCAACTGAAGGCAAGGCCTGACTTGGAGTGGACTCTTCAGTACCGGCCGATTGGGCCTGGTCGAGTGCTTTAGTGGCGTTTCGAGGCTTTTGAGTATCACGCAACCGCGCAAACCTATTTGCAAGATCTTCGGGGAGGTCTTTTGGGGTCTGCTTAATAGCTTTTCCATGCAATGCTTGTGGTTTTGGTTGTATCGTTGGCTTTCGCCTACGTCCCCCAGCCGCGTTGCCGCCAGCATCGTCTGTAATATCAACTCTATTTAGAGCTTCTACTTCATTTATAAGTCCATTATTTTGGGGGGCTATGGAATGGTTCGCCTGAACCTGCTGCAGCGTCGAAGATGGGCTAGGCCAGTTCAAGCGGGCGAGTTCGAAGGGACGCTTAGAAGATATTGTTGGCTGCACACCACTCCGCCTATTATCCTCTTTGATTTCCTCCTTAATCTTGTCGAAAGTAGCTCCATTGGTAGTTATTTTCATCTTGAGGGCTTTGTATAAGCGGTTCAAGTCTCCGCGGTCGGAACTCATCGAGGGATAATCTTTGTGTTTGGGTACTTTATCGACGGCGATTGTAAATGCTTTGATGTACTCCTGCAGTGCTAAATCGGGGCGGCGGAAATCGCTATAGGTTGTTGCCTGCCGCATATGAGCATCTCCAAGCTCAAGGATCTTTCGTAGAGGGGTATGAGGGTCGAGGTCGACGCCAACAGACACCAAATCATCTATGTGGCGATATGGCAGCTTTCCTGCACCCGAGCTGCCATTAAACATGTTCGTACTGGTTTCCTTCGCAGACGACCAGTGGTCATTACTTGTATTAGAGGACATGGTGCCATTCGTGCCCAGTATTGGAGTGGTCGAAGTCCTTGTGAACGTTACAGAACTCATGTTTTCATCAGTGCGATACCCAAGATGTGCAAATCGAATCCTGGACGGCGAGAAATGTAGCAAGGCGGGGGATAGTCAGAGACGAGAACTTTATGTACCACAATTGTTCTGAGGGTGAGGACTGGAATGAGGTGGCATTCTTTCAAAGAAGCGCCGGATCTGTGAACGGCGCAACACTGGAGGTTGAAAAAGTGGGAGAGGGACGAGAACGGAATGTTGAAAGAACATGGACAATAAAAAGAAGAGAAAAAAAAAAGGTATTAAATGCACAACAGCAAAATTAAATTGTCCGCATCTTTAATAGTATATATGAAGAGAAGGACGTGGCGTGTTGGCCAACTGCTTAGTTTCGTGTGTATATAACATGTATGAATGTGTTTGTGTGAAGGCGTCGTTGATATTTAATTGATGCGAAGTAATGTGTATACATACCTCTATGTAATGTACAATACTTATCTTGAGGTGGGTGGAAACTCGGTGATTGATATACCTTATGTACCCGCCCACATGAGATTTGACGTATGTACATGTAGATATGTACATAGGTACCTAATGTACCTCCTTACATGTACCTATGTAGTTATAGGCGCTCCGCATTTTTAGCTACGGCAGCCTACACTAGTGGACTAGTGGTTAGTAGGTATTGTAATAATACGTAATCTCGGCCTTATGTTAGGTATTGTATTGTACATACTGGAATATTTACACTCTACATACACCCACATGCACACCTACCTAGGCATACATAATATCAATAGACATCCCGATGTGTACCCACGCAATTCTCCCATAATCAGGTAAACAGGTTGACAGTCTAGTTTCATACCATCCCATCCCATCCCTCGCCTCTGGAGAGCAATAACCACTTCCGAATCGTATCTCATATCTCCCCTGAATCTCTCGCGCATCATGATGGGAAGTTGGTGGTCGTCCTCGGCCAACAGTGCCTTGGACGAACAGATTGATAAAGCAACCGGAAGTAGTCTGTATGTCTATTCTACTAATTATTCCACCAATGCTTCACTAGATTACTGATGTACGATCTAATAATCTAGGGAGGATATTCCTCTTAACCTCGAGATCTCCGATGTCATTAGATCCAAAACGGTCCAACCTAAAGAAGCTATGCGCTCGCTGAAACGTCGCATCGGCAACAAGAATCCTAATACCCAGCTGAGCGCGCTAAACGTACGAACGCTTTTCTCGGTCGTATAGATTCCTATGCGCTTCTCCCAAGATGCTGACATGTGGCGTAGTTGACAGACACTTGCGTCAAGAACGGCGGTTCTCATTTCCTCGTCGAGGTTGCTTCGCGAGAGTTTATGGATAATTTAGTATCTCTTCTCCATGCAGTTGGCCCCGCCGAAGTTAATAGCGAGGTCCGAGCCAAGATATTAGAGTTGATACAGTCCTGGGCCGCCGCTACCGAAGGTCGCTACGACCTAAAATATATTGAGGAGACCTACAGAGCTTTGCAAAGAGAGGGGTTCCAATTTCCTCCTCGAACAACCGTAGCAAGCAGTATGATCGACAGTAGCGCCGTATGTATTGTATAATATCAAGTGTTCCTATACACGCACCGCTCCTGGAGAAGACAAGACTAACCAGTTTATGATAGCCCCCAGAATGGACCGATTCCGATGTCTGTATGCGGTGTCGGACCCCATTTACCTTCACGAACCGTAAACATCATTGTCGGAATTGTGGTAATTGTTTCGACCAACAATGTTCTACCAAGACGCTTCCTCTACCGCATTTGGGTATCTTACAACCCGTGCGGGTCGACGATGGCTGCTATGCCAAATTAACAGATAGATCTACTAAAAGTAGCTTCGGAAGACAGGAGCGCTCTCCCACAAGCCCTTCCTTTCCTCATAAAAACCGCAGTTCGTCCGCCATGTTGCCTCGAAATGCCAGAGTTGACGACGCCTTCGACGAAGACCTCAAGAAGGCCTTGGCAATGAGCCTAGAGGAAGTCCAAAGTCATTCCAAGGGCTATGTCCCTCCAACAGATAACACCCCTCGACAATCATATGCGAAAGCCAGCGACCACTCATCCACACCAATAGTTGCACCTGCAGCCGAGGAGGAGGATGAAGACTTGAAGGCTGCCATCGCAGCATCTCTGGCAGACATGGAAGAGCAAAAACAAAAGCATTCCGCTGCCTTGAAACAGCAGACAAACATGGTTGAAAACATCTCAGCTACTTCATTCGCGTTGCCCAAGAATGATTACGAGCTCACTCCAGTCGAGGCCGAAAATATCAACCTTTTCTCCACGCTGGTCGACAGGTTGCAGACGCAGCCCCCCGGTACGATACTGAGGGAGCCACAGATTCAGGAGCTTTATGATTCTATCGGGGCGTTGCGACCAAAGCTAGCGCGCACATACGGCGAAACGATGAGCAAGCATGGTAAGCTATCTTCTGAAGGTTTTAGATGCCACCTCCAGCTAATCACAATTCAGATACCCTGCTCGACCTACATGCTAAGCTTTCCACTGTTGTTCGATATTACGATAGAATGCTGGAGGAGCGCCTCTCAAAAGCTTACAGCCAACATAATATTGGTAGCTACGCTTTGCCCAGCTCCGGACAACAGACCGGCCCATATCCCTCAATAGAATCTACTACCGCCAGGGCTTCTACGTCAGCAGAAAATTTCTATACGGGCGACCCACTTACAGATCCAAGTAGGAAGTCTGCAAGCCACCAATACCTCCAACATGTCCAGCGAGGTCTGCCACCACAATTTACAAGCTATGACAAGAGAGCTTCGGTGTCGGCCCCCTCGAGCAACCAATATCCGCATCATGCAGGACAAGGAAACGAGGGTTGGCAAAAACAACAAGGGCCATCCGCACCAGCTCAGTATCCTAGTCAAGCAAATTTCACACCCAACGACGTTCCCCCTCAGTCTAGTCACGTATCCCACCCCTCCCCGCAAACTCCCCTTAACAGAGCCACCGAGCCAGCAGCGACATCAGCGGCCGACCCCAGTGCGACGTATTATTATAACAACCCTCAGTCGAGCACTGACCATGCCACACAGGGTATACCTCCAGAAGCGTCACCGTCACCGTATCCAAACCTTCAACACAGCTTAAGCTATACCGGGCAGCCCATCCCTCCAACACCTGCCTCTATTCCTGCGCAAGCATCCCAGCCCCCACAGCATTATCAGCCACCCAACCAACAAGCGCAACAGCCATATTGGCAACAACAATATGTGGACCAGGCCCCTCAAGCATATCAGACAACCGGGGGATATTCAAGATACAGACAGGACTCGTTCCCTGCTGTTCCCCAACATACACCTCAGCAGCCTGCCATAGAAGAAAGTTTGATTGATCTATAGGATAAACAGGATAAAGCAGGATCGGATTGTGTCACATGAGTGGAATGAGATTAATAGTAGCCAACTCGATGAGAAAAATTCCTTTGCTGAGGGGTGCATTGCATGAGACGTATGACAAATTACCTACCTAATCTTTTATTTTATGCTGTGCCTGACTTCCAGGTATTTGGAATATGAAGCTCCAAATGCAAAACTATGAAAATGTAGCTGAGAGGCTCAAGGAATGGAAGCTGTTTTATGTATTACGAACAACAAGGTGTTGCGAAGAACATCGTTTATTTATTACCTACCTATGGATTGAAGAAAAGAACCATGTTGTGTTAATCCGACTAGGTGCTTAAACACCTGAGGCTCAATTACATACATACCTACATAGGTACCTCAATTGTACAGATACCTGAGTACATTCCATAATATACATGGATGTGGTACGTAAGTTATGTACCTACCATCTAGGCTGTTAAATAAAGTACCTATAGACTTCCCATATTCACATACGTTAGGTACCATGTACGAAGTACCTGCGATTCAATTGTATGCATGTACATATGTACGGAATAGCTTATCTGAACGCAAACCCCTCTTGCCCCTCTTTTGTTACTTTCTCTCACTCAAAATAAAGCTTCTATCGTCCTTTGGCTCATACTTTAGGTTAGGACAAGATATAGCTAAGGTATGAACACGGTAATTATCTATAAATACCCCAAAATTCATCAAGAAACGATATTCTTTTTTTCTCAAGACTTATAATCTTGCTTAATAGACGCAATGTCCCGCCACCAAGCATATCGTAATTACGACTACGAGAACGACCTCGACGAATATGAAGCAGACGAATTTGGAGATGAGGAAGAGGAATTAAGCTCGGAGGATCAAGGTACATGAGTTGCACATATCATATCCTATCAATTCCTGCTAATAAGCCAATGAAGCACAAATGAACGTCGGTACTGTCCAAGTTCGAGCCGCTCTCGGTGTCGAATCATCCAAGGTTACCACAAAACAAATCCAAGATGCGCTATGGCATTATTATTACGATATCGATAAATCTGTGACTTATTTAATGACTAAATATGTTGCACCTTCAACCAAAAAGAAAGGAGGAGGTAGGTAGCCTATTTTCTTATTCTGTATTTTCTTATTCTGCCGTTGTCCTCCCAAGCCACCCAACATAGCACCTGTGCGAAGGTCTCGGTCGCAGGGCAGCAGCATTTCATGACCCCAGGTGCGTCTCAGTGTGAATATATCGGAAATCCAGCTTGGTCGTTTGGCTAACACCGAAGCTTGGGGTTGGTAAAGGTGAAGCACATGCACAGCACGTCTCATTTGCCGGCTTCTTTAGCGACATGCCGTGGTTGAATATCCCAAAGGACCGACAAACTACATTTATCGTACCATTACAGCCCCGAAGCGGACTGCTAGGGGGTGCTAGCATAGACGGCAAGGTTTCTAAACTCCAAGCACTGGCTGCTGCTCGCAAGAAGAAAGCAGAAGATAGGAAATTGGACGAGAAACAACTACAAGATGCAACATCGAAATTAAGCAACCTCTCTACCACTCCGACGCAACCTGAATCTAGTAAAGAGAATGCACGGCCGACCGCGATAACGCCAAGGGGAGCTACGGGTTTTACAAGCGCTAGTATAGCCAGTATATCCCAACGGATAGAATCTAAAAGCCCAAAGGTTGTGGAGGACGAGGTTCAAAGCCAGCCAGAAAGAAATAGTACCGAGCCAACCAACCCTCCGAGATTTGCGAAACCTTCACAACCAGCTATACCATTTGAGGCTGCTGCGCCGTCTCCCTTCGCTCAGGCCCTTCTCAGCTCCATTAATAGTTCTATTAATTCCGTGCCGAGAACTTACCCGTTTCCTTATATCAATTTAACTTCATCAGTAACTGACGCGTTCTCAGCGCCAAGCCCAGATGATGTAGTCTTGGCAGCACAGTCCCAAGGTTCGCTCTTAGCGAAGAAGGTCGTTAAGTAAGAATACTAATAATTTGGGATCAGCAAGCAGTAAAAAGATTGCTGCTAATACGACTAAGAAGAAGGCCAGCGCAAGAGGAAAAGTCGAAGAGGTTACGGATGGTGTGAAAGGCCTTAATTTACCTGATACGCCATTGCCCAAAAGCAAGAATGTTGACGTGCTTAAGGAATTTGAGAAGACTAAGAGGAAGAAGAACGCAAGCTTCGTAGTTGTTGGTAAGTATTACAAATAAGTCTCGGTGCGTTGGTATTCATACTAATTTGACAAGGCCATGTGGACGCTGGTAAAAGTACACTGATGGGACGCCTGTTGCTCGACCTCAATGTCGTTGACCAGAGAACGATACAGAAATATCGCAAAGAAGCCGAAAGTATAGGGAAATCTTCGTTCGCACTTGCGTGGGTGCTAGACCAACGATCGGAGGAGCGATCGAGAGGCGTAACTATTGACATCGCAACAAATAAATTTGAAACGGCAACCACATCGTTTACGATTCTAGATGCGCCTGGACATCGAGATTTTATCCCCAACATGATTGCCGGCGCGAGCCAAGCAGACTTTGCGATTTTAGTAGTGGACGCAACAACTGGCGCATTTGAAGCTGGACTAAAGGGTCAGACAAGGGAGCATTCTCTTCTCCTGCGCAGTATGGGTGTCTCTCGAGTAATTGTCGCAATTAATAAGCTGGACACGGTTGGATGGTCTCAAGAACGGTTCGACGAAATTTCGCAACAAGTATCCGGCTTCCTCTCGGCAACAGGGTTCCAGCTCAAAAATGTTAGCTTTGTCCCCGTGTCCGGCTTACATGGAGATAACATAGTAAAGAGGGCCACAGACGCAGCAGCCAACTGGTATTGTGGGAAAACGCTCGTCGAGGAATTAGAGAGCTCAGAGCCAATGGCTCGAGCATTGGACAAGCCTCTACGCTTAACTATTTCCGAAGTTTACCGTACAGCACAGAGCCCGCTTACGATATCCGGGAGGATAGATGCAGGCTCGGTGCAAGTGGGCGATGCACTAATAGTTCAGCCTAGCGGCGAGAAGGCATACGTCAAGTCTTTAGAACTTGATCATGAGCTAGTGGACTGGGCCGTGGCGGGACAAAATGTCGTTATTCACCTCAGCAATATCGAACCGATCCACGTACGCGTTGGAGACATTATCTGTGATACAAAACAGCCAATCGAATGTATCGACATATTCACAGTCAAGGTACTGGCGTTCGACATCCTGATGCCGATGCAGGTGGACGTGCACAGGGGCCGTTTACACGCCGCGGGTCAAATCCTAGAGATACCAGCCTTGCTCGACAAAACTAAGGGCACCGTGCTGAAAAAGAAACCCAAGATCGTAAAGCCAGCAAGCGTAGCGAGAGTGGTGGTCAAGATGGGAACGAAGGTGCCGCTTGAAGCAGGGCAGCGTGTTGTATTGAGAAGTGGAGGCGAGACAGTTGCTGCCGGGTTATTAGAATGAGAGCACGGCGTTTCCTACGGTTACGAGTCGTGGCGGGTAGAATATACCAAGCTCATGACGTCGGCTACGATACTGTAGACAGCTTTATCAGGTTTATCTTGTAGAATAAGTGGCAGATATAGCGAGCAGTCCATGTATATCTACCCGACTTAGACTCGCACTTGAAGTTCGTAGCAGAAGACATAAGGTACTTATAGATAGTGTAGTTATATAATGCAGTGCCATGTTTGAGCCTCTTCATATCAGCACAAGCTTGGCTGCACTTTATATAGATGAAGGATTAGGTATCTCGCTAAAATGGATCCTGGATATGTAGATATTAAGCGCCTAACGTATGCCAATTCGAGAAGATAAAGTGGACAGATGTCTTATTGACAGATATATAGAATATCTTATAATGGAAATCTGGCTATCTCGATCTTACCCTAGTGCTTAAGCAGCTAGTAAGGTACCTAACCTACTATATCTGCCACGTTACCATATGTAGGTAATATGTGAATCTATACATAGGTAGGTATGTAACCTATGTAGAGGTTCCTTATGGTTTATGTATGTAGTTACAGTTTATATACTAAACTGTCATAGCGCTGTGACCAACTATAAGGCTAGCAGGGATGTCCCGCATTAGGCGGGGCTGGGGCTCTAAAACAGAGTTGGGACAATCTGGCTTTTGCGCCAGAGAGGCGAAGAAGGTTCCAGTGACTACTAAAGTATTCAAGTACCTTTCCAGCAGAAAACAGCTGGGGAGATACTTCCTGACTTCTAAGGCTTTCCCACGACGTACATCTTTTAACTTCTTCCGAGACCCACCCATCTATACCCTTAGGCGCTGGATCGGCAGTACTTAGGAGTACCTATGCACTTACAGCTTTGGCAGATAAAAAAGACCAACTCCCATAGCTTGGCAGGTAGCTAGATGTAGCTAAATGGGGTCATGCATCAAAAAGAGCATCTGCGTGACCCACACTTTATTGCAATGTGTTCTCTTGCAAGCTGGCAACATCAACTTAATCATTTTCTTCTACCCATATAAGAATTTCTCAGACACACCATTGTGCGTCGACAAATTCTCCTTCTCTTATTCTCCTCATACCTCACTAGTTTCTAGTGTCATACCAACCGAGCAGGAGAGGTTGAAAGGCACTCCCAGCTTCAGTGTTGAACTTTGAACTTTCTTTTCCCTTTTCTCTTTTCTGTATCCTAGTTTCTATTTCCATCTAGTTAACATCTTACCACGCTGCTTTGTTACTGTTCTATCTGCGACAAACACCTTCCCGCCATGGCTCGCTCTCAGAGCTACTGGACTATTGCCTTTGGCATGATAGCCTGGAGCCTTCTTCTCTTCAGCCCTCTGGCATTCGTCGGAACTGCGAGAGCAGACGACGTCGCCGACTATGGCACTGTTATCGGTATTGTAAGTCCCCCCGCTCCCCCCCCCCCCCCTCTCTCTTCCTAGCCTAGTCTTGCAATTTCGTTCCACCATTTCTTGCTAACAATATTTTCCTGCAGGATTTGGGAACTACATACTCTTGCGTCGGTGTGATGCAACAGGGCAAGGTTGAAATTCTCGTCAACGACCAAGGCAACCGAATTACCCCCTCATACGTTGCCTTCACCGATGAAGAGCGATTGGTAGGAGATGCTGCCAAACAACAGGCAGCTTCCAACCCCAGGAACACCATCTACGATGTTAAGTAAGTCAAATCCTATCGTGATTTAAAGGGCAATATCGACTAACTGCCACCCCTACTCTAGACGATTTATTGGCCGAAAGTGGAGCGAGAAAGAGGTCCAAAATGACATCAAGCACTTCCCTTACAAGGTAGTTGAGCAGGATGGCAAACCCGTTGTCCAGGTCGATGTCCAGGGCGCCAAGAAGAAGTTTACCCCCG